CTTAGCAAATCTCTGACTATGCAGACTTTCTCTTTTTTGATACATTTTTCTGTATTGTCACTCATTAAAATTTTTTCATTATGTTGATGTTAAATCATCCTAAATGAAATTTATCTCAGGCACTGTTTTAGCTTGAGCCCAAAAATTTTGAAAGAAAATTAAGTTGATATTTAATGTGGCTTTTTATATAAGAATTTTTCTTATTCAACTTGGATTTCTAAAAAAAGTTATTATTCTTGTTTTAAGAACTTATTGTTCTATGTTCGTCCTTGCATTTTGAAATATGCTTCCCTAGAGTAAACAGGTTTTACTTGCAAATACAGAATTTACGTAACTTTACAAAGCTTGTAGTTTTGAGATTGTTCTGGAGAACACAGACTTCCGTGCCTCTAAACACTCTCAGCAATTTTTTCCTGGAAGCCACAATGATCTTTTAAATCACTTGAAGTTGTTTTGTTAACTTTTGGATAGTGTGCATGTCTGTAAACCAGCTTGTACTAATTTACTTGTGTTTCAAAGTCCAATGTAAATAAATGTATACTGTTTCATAATTAAACTTCATATTTAACATATTTGTTCAGCAATTTCAGTTAAATTTTTGCATATTTTAAATGGTCCTTATTGTGTGATTAGTGGTGCATATAAGGTGAAATAACTTCAAATTTGCACTGTGCTACAAAAATTTAACATGTGCCAAAATACCAAACATCTTTGTTAGCTATGGAATTGCTTAACCAATTTCAATACTAAATATAGAATGAAAGAATTCTGTATGGATTCTTTATGAAAACCAACATGTTTATATTGTTTTTAGCATTCCCCTATTTTTTCTGGATGTTTTAAATTATAGTGATGTACATGTCATATTCCAGTGGCTAAGGTGTATTAAAATATGCATATATATTGATAATTATTTTTACAATCTTTGTATTGTAAATTATGTATTGATAAGAAAAAGTTATACTTGTTAATCTAAGTAATAAGCACCAGAATATTGACTTGAAAGAATGTATTCTAGTAATTTTGGAAGCATAAACACCTGGGAGTGTTATCACACTCTCATAGCAAAGTCATGGCAAAAATAGGACCAAAAACAAAAAAAAAGACAAGAAATACCATAGACTGTAGCATCATAGAAAAGGAACAGCCCTCAGGACTTCAGCTCTTCTGTGCAGGTATTTAGTCTGATCCCCAGTGACCATTTTTGTGTGCTTTGCGTTACTTCTGCACCAAGTAAGGGTTGTAGTCTCAACATCTATGTGGAAGGCCACCATGCAGTAGCAGTAAGAGAACTGGAGCAGTCTTGCAACCTGTCTCAAGTTTAAATTTCTGGCTAACACCATGCTTTATGATATTGTGTCAATGAATGTGTGACCTCTGTCAGTCCGAAAAGGAAATAGTTCATATATATATACAACTGCTCTATTCCGCTATTTAAGTGAAGCAACAATCAAGGACAGAAATGTAGAGTGTCCATTATTATAATAAGGCTTTATTGTATGAGACTCCAAAAATTTAAAAAATTTAAAATAAGTAGTCCGTGAACTTCAGTTATCGCCAAAGATCGGGGAATTGTTCCTTTCATTTCAGTAAGGAATCCCTGTTTGTTTTTCGTGTTCACTTCATAATAGAAATTAGAGGATGGCACATTAATGGAGTCACAAAATAGCACCATTGTTATTGTGCATTCTGTGAGCATGTTTCTTATATATCATGGTGGAACATTATCCCACAGAAATTACTAGTAAGGAGAGTTACAACAAACACAACAATATTCAAGATAATCATGAGGAGCTGCTGGAAAACCCTACCAAATTAAAATATTATGAAATTTTTCTCACTTGAATCTTCCAGATCAAGACTGGATGGTTAAGTGAAGAGTCTGAGTCCTAGAATTTGTTTTAAATACAGAAGGAACTGACCAGAATTCTGTGACACGCCATTGCCTTTTAGACTAAAGATAGTTTTTCATCTTGAACATTGAGATGCTTAAGTTACCTGAGCAGAAGGAAATATGTCTGTAAGTGTTCTAGGCATTCAGTGACTGAAATGTCAGGTAGCACTATAGGTTAAGTGTGGTTCCAGAAGAATTTGGATTTAGTGTGACAGTGCCTGTATGAATTTGGAAGCATGTATCTGTGATAAACATAGGGTCTGTGCATTGTGCCATATACTGTAGGCATTTTTTCCATGAGGAAACGGTCTTTATTGGTCTTAAAATCAATAAATTTATGCATGTAAGACTAAGAACTCAGAGAAAGAATGAGGCAAGGTTTTTCTTCTGGAGGTCTGTAGTTTTGTTCTGGCTTTTTAAGATCTGGTGGTAATTTTACAGGACTGTTTTCAGAGCCAGGTACCATATTTTGTATCCATCAGCTCCATTCCACTGACTTGAATCAAATGACAGTGATTTACATAATCTGTTGACCTAGTCTCATTTTCTCTTGAAAGCTTATCATCAGTGAAACAATAGAAGGGATGGAAATATGCATAAAATTATGAAATGAAACCTCCTTTGGTTGAGATGTTATACAATAATTTTGCTTGTATGGCATCAATGAAGCCAAATATCAGGTCACCAGTGTAGAGAAATTCTCATTTGAGGACACAGAAAATTCAGTTCTCTGCAAAGCCAGTGGAGAATCTAGCTGGGCTGCTGTCAGCAGCAAAGTGAATATGAGTCCACTATTTGTCCACAATTGTGTGGGGCTTCCTTTTTGAAATACTTAAAACATCAATGAGGATATTTTGTGGGACAGAATTTTGTGGGCTAGAAAGTAAATAAGCTGAATATCAGTCTCAGGTATTTTTCTGTGGTTTTAAAATATCTAAATTATAAATTTGCACTTCTAAAATATAATGAAAGCCAAACTTACTGCGTTATAGTGAAAGGTATTCTTCCTGAAAGGCTGAAAGATTACTTATTTACTATAACTAGAACTTGATAGAGAATTCTGTCTACCTAAGTACACTGATGGAGTAGCAGGAAAAGGCACTTGTTGCTCAGATAATTAAAAAGTTAGCATACTGATTTCTTTAGTATATTATAGAGTATCACATTATTCTTTTCCCCCTTATTAACCAGAGTATTACTGAACTGTAGCAAAATGAGAGCAGAGGAAGGATTTTTTTATTTATTTTCTCTGTAAAACCAGTTGGAGTTTGGCAGGTTTTATTTTATCTAAAGATAAATGCTTCATTAAGGAAAAAAAACCCAACAAATCAAACCACCAAAATATATCCCTCCTGTTTCATACTGAGAAGTTCTTCCTGATTATAATATTTTTTAAAATACATGCAATATTAAGGTCTAACTTTGCCAAACAGTGAACTTTTCTGAAGTATTCCCTGAAATTTGTACCTGTTTGAGGTCAAGAAAAATACATTTTTAGATGATAAAATAGAGAAGATACCACCTCTTTAAAATAAAGTTTCTCTTGTATATCTATGTTCTTGAAAAAAAAAGGTTTTTATACTTAAAATGCTTCTTATTACCATAATTCACATGTTTTTCAAAATGTAAGTTAAAAGCCTGACTTAGTAGGTCAATTATGTATGGGTTTGAGGCATTATCTGTGTTCCTTTCTCTTATCTGAATTGTTGATGTAACGAACTTCTGGTAATCTACAGCCCAGTTAGAGTGCCATCCTCCAAAGGGATGGGGTAAAAAGACGAATGTGATTTTAATAAAGACAAGAGAGAACGCAAAAGAGAAAGTGGAAGGATGAGTAAAGAAAGGAGAAATAAATACAGAACCTTTGGCTTTGCCACTTCTTCAAGTAATCCTTGGATACTTTTGCATGATGGGGCTTGCAGTCAGACACGGGTGTATTCTAGCTGCAATTTGGAAGTGTCTGTATATGAACCTTCTGTCAAATGGAAGTTACAGAGCAGTACTAACCCCACAGAAAATACAGCTGAGGATTAATCTAAATTCGTAATACTTTTTAAAATGTTATGGGCAGTTTTATTTCAAGCTTTTAATATCAGTTTATTTCTCAGAGCTAATTTTGATAAATAAGAAGCTTCAAGCCAACAATCACCAAAACTATTCATTGCTCCCCAGTATAATACTCCAGAAACTTAAATGTGCCGTAAACTTTTTCAAAGAATGATGTTTCTTTGCTATAATAAGGATAGCTCTCTAAGTAATTGATCTGATTTGTGCAGATGGATACTTTACTGTGTAATACATGAGTGTACTTCAGGCAACACAGCTAATTTTGCACTCCAAGCAGATTTGCTGCTGCTATGCTAGCACACAGTAGAGTATGAAGGATAAGTGATATAATCACATTGAGATTAAATAAATTTTCTGCTTATGTAAAATTTTTATCACAGTTTGAGAACTTGTTTAAAAAGTCATTTGAAAAATGAATGCAAATAAAATTAAACACTTCTCCAGTATCGTGAGTTATCCAGCATTGCAAGTCATTTTACATGACAGATTTCTTAGTCCAGCCTTGGAATGTGTATACATACTCCTGTTGAGATGGTGCAGGGAATGTAGAAAAAGTGATTATAGATCATCTTTTTGTGTTGCTGCATCAGGTGCATTATTGCATCTTTTACTAAGTAAACTTACAAATACGTGGTTCTTGCTTTTTTCAGGCTATTAAAAAGTGCAGCATAGAAACCTAAGTTACTGTGACAAGAATCAACAATGTAATCTGAATTAAATGCACATACTCTATTGGCATGTGATAGAAATTAATAACTGTGAATTATTGTTTTCCATTTCAGGTCAAGAGATGGAGAATAGAATTTTAATTTCCATTTCCAAAAAAATACTGTGTGGATACTTGCATTGTTCTGTCTTATCTTGGTTATAAATAGTGGTTTAAAATCTTTGTATAAAAAGCATGAATGATTTTACAATTCCCTGTATTTATTGTGTGTGCCTCTGTTTTTAAGACATTTCAAGTCTTCAGGTATTTTCTGAGATAACTGTATCCCACATACTGCTTGCTAGATCTGACAGGATTCATGTTCTCTTTCAGGAGACGCTGATAGATTGGTGTGATGAAAAGGAACTTAATTTGATTTTAACAACTGGAGGAACAGGGTTTGCACCACGAGATGTCACTCCAGAGGTGAGATAGTTCTGGAATAGAAAAATCTGCCCTTTGGTGTAGAAATGTATGAGTCTGGAGGAGGTGGGGGGTGGGTTTTGGTGTGGGTTTTTTTTTTTTTATTTCCTCTGTAACTTTTTTTTGCAGTATCTATGGACAGGTCAAGTGATACACAACTTGGAAACAGAAAAAAGCAATAGAGAATGTAGTGTAAGAGAATAATTCTGACCTGGGGTTCTGACCCAAAACAATTTTCAAACTAAAATGTGGTATAGCATAATGGTTTTTCAGTACCCTTACGAAACAAAATTCTGATGGCTTTTTGGTGTAATTTCCCTTAGCAGTACAACACTGCTAAGCAAAATCTTGTTATGTCCACAAGGAAAAGTGGGATAAGAGAGATCCTTTAATTATCCCTTGCAGAGTACTGCATTGACAACTACTGCATTGTAGGTTGGAGTGTGAGACAGATAGCAGGGGGGAAGAAATTCTGTGCAAAGCTACTGTTGATCTGCTTAATACTACATTGTCAAAAAAACCTAAACAGGCACAGAGATGGAGGCAACCGGCACCAATAAATGTTGCACACGAAATCTAGTTGCATTCCACTTACATGGAGCTGATGTGAAGAGGACGAAAAGGAAATTTAACCTAATGACCTCATGGCCATGAGTTGTCATGTGAAATTACTGCGTGATTGCAGTTGAAGTATTTTGGTATTTATGGTTCCAAATTAGATTAATATGAACTTTTAAAATCACATACTTTATTTGGTTTGCTTATGTTCACTAAAGGGCAGAATTAAGGTTGAGTGCCTGAAGTGTTTATTTGCATAATGTAACAGATCTAGATTTCTCTTAAGTACTCATTTAAGTTTTCAATTGCTCAGACTTTCGTGTTGGAGTTGATTTCAGTTTTTTATAGCATATCTACAATGCTTTTTACTTACAAATGTGTTCTGTCACATGGCTACAGTTTAATTTTTTTCCCATTAGAAATATATTAATATTTTTTAATTTATTGTATAACATTTCTGAAACTAAAGAAACATATAAGCAAAATGCTCCTATTCATTCTGATGTTTTTAAATTATATACTAGAAATCTTGAGTAACTAAAACTTTGGGGTCTGTTTATCAGGAAATGGAAACTATGTAACATGACCTCAGTGTTCTAGCTACTGAAACTGATTTTGCAGATTATTCACTGTGCTAAAGCAACCAAAAGTGAAAAGTTCATTGGTTAAATTTGTATCTTGCTCGCAAAATAACTTTACGGTTTTGAAGGTTGTATTAACAGGACTGTGTAGAAGGATGACTGAATTTCTTCAGTTTTCCTTTGTGCAGGGATGAGCCTGGGCAATACTGCCAGAGAAAGCATAGCAGTCAGTGCCAAAAATTAGCCACAAATTCTCAAGCAGCATTTGGGACAAGAAATAAACAAATGAGAACTCTGCACATAGACACCCAGTATTTTCCTTACACTGCATTGCTGTTACTCAAACTAATGAAGACAGGTGGGGGTGACTTGTTTCATCAGTTTTGATGAGTTGATGAGTTTTGAAAGTTAATCTGAGTTGTTCATGTGTCTTTATATAATAAAACCACATTGATATAAAAATCATTAATAACTTGCACTGTAGAAAAACTGCGTTGTTTTTAAACGTAACACATATGCAAGACTTGGGCTGGTCACAACAGAATCGGGTGTTCTAACTGTCAAATTATTCCCATACTTAAAAAAATTTTCATAGGAGAGTATTTACTCACTTTCACTCAATTAAGTTGAATTAACTTGCAGTACTAAATTTAAATCACAGTGGAGAGATTGAATCCCAGGTTTTATTACAAAGTATCAATGATAAGGGTCATTCCTATGATAGCATTTATTAGGTCATTCTTTCGAACAAATGCTTTAAGGGAAGAAAATCAGTTTGCCAGTATGTGTCATACCAAAAACATATTAAGAAGTGTAAGTTTTGTTCCCATAATTTATGTCTTGGGTCAATGAGAAAGCCAATTCAAAATGGAAAATTCAGTATGTCAACATGAAAGGTGCAATAACAAGCCTTTAGGAAAACTTGAGTTGATGCAAGCAGTGGTTTTAACCTTTTCTGTGTGTGGTGTTGGTCCAGCATGCTGTCATTGCTGAACTGATAATGAAAGGGTGTGATCATGGCATTGTGCTACTGAGCTGTCGTCTTTAAGATGTGATTTTAAAACTGTTAAGAATTGAATCTGATAATAGAAGATGTTTTAGTATTTTTCCTGAGAACAGGGAGAGTGGTCCCATGGGTCCTATTTCAGCTGGTATGTTTCAGTCTTGCTTCTCCCTGCTTCTCCTGTAACTTGGATTAGAAAGCATGTTTTCATCCTTTCTTTTCTGAGTATAGATATAATTGCTATTGTACATACACATTAAAGGTAAATCCCAAGAGTATTTACGGCCCAAAGACTTAATGTTAATTAAATTTTGTAATTATTCATAAAATTGAAATTCAGTGCCTAGTATAATGTAGCTAAAAATAGCTTCTTGATATCTCAGAAATGTATAATTAAGTTTCAAAAAAAATTAGTAGTTTCCCCACTCACTTTACCTTTTGAACATTGTATCAGAACCATACCAGGTTATTGTGGTTGTTTCAATCATGTGTAATTACATTTTTTCTTGTACCAGAATAGACCATTTTAGGTATATCTGCAATATCTGAGTTTCCTTACCTGTCTCTGATCCCTAAATTTATAGGCTCGGTGTAGTCAGTGGGTGCAGAGAAGCTTTTGATTAGTCCTGAAGGTCTGTTTAATTAAGCAGTGTGAATATCCTTTACTTTCTTGACTACATGACTAGAAATTATGAAATGCATGTGGATATTTAAAAAAACAAACACAGTCAATGGATGGCTGAATTTGAAAGTAACTGTGTTATAGATGTTATTAGTGAATGCTGGAATTCTTTACCATGGCGCTTTGTGGTACTTTGCATTTGGACTAAAGCTGAAGTGTGGGCTTAATATTGTGGATACAGCCACGTTTTTTTCCCAGTCTTACTTTGCATATAATTTAAAGGGGTAGTCTTTAAATCTCTGCTGGAACTGCTCCTACAGTCTGCTTGTTGATTTAAAAGTCTTTGTTGCTGGACAGAGATCAGGACTTACATATAGCCCAAGTTAGTTTATTTATTTTATTTAAGGAACTTTTGTTTTGCATTTCCAGATGCAAGCCTTTTTTCCTTTGAACTACAATACTTTAGTGGTAGTTCTCAAATGAACATTGATAATAACATATGTTAACTTTTGTGAAAAAATTTAAATACCATTGCAGCATTTTTTTCAATCACTATGTATCCTTCTGAGATATTTTCTCTGTTGCTGTTGGTTAGTACAAAAGGAAAAGATAAAACCTCATGTATACAGATGCTCTGCTCAGTTTTCTACCTTCTGTCTTCTCTGCTTTTACATTTCTTCTTTTGCAAAATTATACTTCTAAAAAAGTCATGTCTGTTTCCCTTCTAGCTGTTTGCTTATCCTCTGTCTCTAGTATGATTCTGTGCAAGTCTTGTTTGCCCAGCTATGAGACTAATTTTATGTACTTAGGTAATAGCAGTAGCAAACAACTTATTGTGCCTCAGCTGATGCTAGACATTCTTGAGCTGTGTTGCTGTGTGTATTCACAAATAGTTCATCCACGCTGCAGAGAATTTTCAGCCCTGAAGTTTTAAAATAATGCTTTAGAAGAAACATAGAAGAGCTCTTTTCCAGCATGTAAAACCAGACAGATGTTTCCTTATAGTCTTCCTCCTTTTCCAGTGTTCTGGAAAATTTATGAATGCTTCTTTTGGTTCTTGCTGTTCATATTCTTCAATACTTATAGACTGGTTTTAAATGTATTTAGACACATTCTTGTTTTCATTTAATCTGACAATGTATGCATATTTGTTTATTCTTTCATCAGAGTTCTCTAGTCCATGAAAAAAGCTCATCGTTCTCTGTAACTCCCTTCCATTTGTCAGCATTTTTCTGAAAAAAACATGCTCAGAATGAACAAAATGCTCCAGACATAGCCACACAGAAGCCATGTTTGGAGGGAAGAAGGTCCCAATTCTGCTGTAATATAGGTCTTTGTATATTTACTTCAAAATTGCAACAGCATTTTTATAATCGCTACCAATTGCAAATTTTCGATCACCTGGCTTTCCCCCATTTTCTAAGGTATCTCTCAGGATTTTTCTTCAAATTCCATTTTATTTCCACAGACTACTTTAATATCTGTATCCTTCAATTTCTCTGTCTCAAGTAGTGTTGGCAACCCTCTTAATGTCTATTATTTGTAGTTTTCATGTGTTTTGTCTGTTTACTTTAACTCTATTAATGAAGATGCTTGTGACACAACATACTCTCACAGCAACAGGTGTTCCCCTCAGATTAACCCAAATCCCCTGAGACTTACACTTTCAAATAACAATTTTGATTTAAAAGGCAATAATTTAAACTAGAAATAGTATATTGGGGATGGAGGGCCTTGTCTTCCCTGGTTCAAATAGTGCCTTTCAGAGCAGCAGGGTTTCTACTATTGTTTGTTGTGGATATAGGAGTATTCTGTTCTTCTTCAGCAATATTTTAGTGTTGTAATTAAAACAAAAGAAACTTACTTTCTTTTTACAAAATTGTCACTTCAGGATGGCTCCATATGAGGAGGAATGGAGCTTTCATCTCACATGGGATATAAGTAATTTTGTGGTAGCAATAATATGAAATTTACGATCTCTAATTACCCAGGCTGTTGTTTCAGTTTTTCACCCTTCAATATTCCAGGTACCCTCCAATTGAATAGCCTTTTTCAGCATATGTATATTTTTGTAGTCTATATTAAGACTGTAGCTTTCCATATTCTTAATGGAGGTCTTGCTCCACACTGTTTGATTCCTGTGTTGAGCTGTTATATAATGAAGTATGCTGTGTATGGATGTCTGATCCTGTAACTTGCCATCAGACCTTTTGAGGCCTTCATATTTCTTAGAAAATTGTTTCCAACCCATCTTGCTCCTAAAGGGTCTGAATTAGAAAACCTTGCCACATGCATCTAGGCAACAAACATGCTTAAATGGAATAGATTGCTCTGTGACAGACTCCTTCAAATTCTGTACTACGCTGTTAGAAGTTTAGCAGCAACTCTATAAAATACCATTGCCTTTTCCTTAGTCCTCCAGACAATTCTTAGCTTACATGATTAGACCTTTATCCCGTCTGCTTTAATAGTTCAATAAAATGTTTTGTTTGAAAAGCTGTATTTGGTGTTGCAAGAATCCAAATATGTTTATGTGCCATAATAATTTAATTAAAAATTCTTTATTTAGATTTTAAAGCTCTCTTTGGAAGGCAAGCTATTATAACAGAATTGATATATTTAGTTGCAGAACGCTTTTCACTTAACAACTATTACCAGTTTCTTCGAGAACCAATATACAAATTATTTGCACTACACAGTACACTGTCAGGTTACAGAAGTGCCTGTGTCTTGAGAAATTCCACACTGATTTAGTTGACTTACGAAGGGCTAAAAGTGCCCTTCTCTTCTCTTCTCTTGTTTGAGTTTCTCAGGGAAGCTTGGTAACACACCATCATTGCAAAAGGGCTTGGTTGTGCTATCACCAACTGCAGTCACTGCATGGGAACAGCTGCGAGCTGCCAGGACACCTATAGTGACAAATGTGGGGGAGAAGAAAGCCCAATCCCATTTCAGCTCCATTTACTCAAATATCAGAGGTTAATAAATAAGACCACCAAAAAAACAACAAAAAAAATCCCCACAAAACAAAGCAAAAAAGCCAACCAAATAAACAAAAAAGCACCAAAGGATGAAGGAAATAGATGCAGAGAGAGTGTTCCTGAAGAATGGTTATTTTGATAAATAAAGACAGCTTGGTAATTCTTGATACTCTGCTGCATAAACAGCAGGTTTTGACTTGTTCTTTGTCTGTGTCAATCTAGCTGAGATACTGGATTGAAAGAATGTATGTCTCTCAACTTGTTTCTGTCTAGATTTTCCAACGTAGACAACTATGAAGAATATGGGGAAAATAGAAGTGTTGGAATACAGAGGATACTTGTCTGTATATGGAATTGATGTGTCTAAAATGCAAAGCTGCATATTTTTTTTTTGACATTCCCTTTTAAAAAGTTTCAAATGTCACAATGGATACAGAAAAAGGTCAAAAAATATATGATGGCTTTCTGTGAGAGTTACGCAGTGCAGTCTGTTTAGTTTATCATAAAGAAAACTGGGAAATATCTTGGGTTTTATCTGTACTTTCTTTGGGAAATAATAATATACAGTACTAAAGGCTTTGTAAGGTACCAAAGGCCTTCTTTGCCTACTTCAGAGAATTGTAAAAATAGCTGGTGATAGAAAGCTTGAGCCGGAAAAATCTAATAAGAAAATAGTGGAAGGTTTTTATGTATTGAGGTTGGATTCCTTCTTTAGGAGATTATTCACACAAACAAATTCCTTAAGGAGGCCTGTATTCTTCATTTTAATTTTGTCAAATCCAAAGTATTGATAGTGGGAGAAATCTCTTATAAAACTCAAGTTTTCTTGTACTCCATAGAGAAGTCATGGATGATGTTGAATGAATTATCCTGCATGGAAGGCCCAACTAGATTCTGGCTTTATGTTCTGTATGTGTTAGATGAGAAGATAGTTTGAATAAAATGGATCCTGAAGTCAATAATTAGGCAGTTTTATCTCCTGAATTCAAAAGGATCACATTAGTTGCTTCTGCTTCTTTTTTGAAAATGCAAAACCCTGAAAATACTGGCTGAGGATGCTGGGACAAATAACTTTTAAATTACTTAACTAATGTATTAACCTTCTTTGTAAAGTTGTCTGACCATCATATCATAAAGGTAATGATAATAGAATTCTTGTTATGCCTTTGGATACTTTTGCCCATTTGAGGATCAGCTTTTATTTGTTTTATTTTATCTGTCCTTAATACTCTGGAATAGCAAATAGAAGTTCTGTTTTCTGACTCTCAAACATGTATGGAATATTTGCAAGCTCTGCTGAAAAGGATAGTAAAACAGCAGTGAGGGATTTGAATGTTTCATAAAATGATGAGCAAAGCCACAGTAATGAGCCAGGAGACCTCTCTTTTTTATTCTTAAATTTTGAAAATAAGTTTTTTATTCCAAGGTAGTTTCAGAATGGAAGCTAGAAGAAGGCTGGCGTGTCCTGTGGGTAGACAAATGGTTCCTATCCTAGTGAACTCAAATATTTCCAAAAATACAGCCAAAAGAACAATATGATATAGTTTGGTTTTTTATTGAGATAAAGAGTTTTCCTCCTCTTGGTATTACTGATGCCTTTTAGCCATGTTTTCACTGTAGAGCCCACAGCTCTCTGTTAACTGGCTTGTCTCCTATTAGCAATGTAGCCACAACAGTGAATATATTTTGCAATCCTTTCTGTAACTGTGGAAAGAAAAATAGGCCTGCCATAGAACTTCTGCATAATAAATTTTAAATTTGGAACTTTTGGAAATTTTTTCCTCTTAAGCATTTCTAAAAATAGTTTCCATTAAAGCATCACTTCAGAGAAGATAATAGGAAACTGAAAAAAAAAATTAAACATCAAGTTAAGGGAAAATAATCCTGAAAACATTGTCAGGCCTGTAATTACACAGTTTTTGCCCTTAATGTGTCATTTTTTTCTGGTCATGGTCTATTGCAAAGAGTAAAAGCTTAATACGGAGAAAATTAACAAAAAATTTGTATAGACATGTTAGGAAGACCTCTTTGTGAAGGCAGCCTAAATACATGATAACTAGAGGGCAAATACTAGTTTGGATTTAAGATGTGTGAAAAATTGAGTGAGTTAGTCCTTTTGACATAGGCACACCAAAATAGCAAAATGACTCACTATTAACATAGTTGATCATTAAAACTAATACTTATTAAAGAATAGAGAATTTCTCATTTACTGCTTGCCTGCTGTGTAGGAGCCTTTCCAGCCACTAAGTGGAAAGAAACTAGAAGAGTCTTGGAAAGCAACTGGCTTCAGGAGTTATTCTTAGGATTATAAGTAGTCCTTCACCTGCTTTTGCTAATTGCTACTACATGGAGCAGTGAAGCTTTAGCAAAATGTTGACTCAGTATAACTACCAAAATACAAAACCAAAATGACTAATGTCACACTCAGGCTTGAAAGTCTTATCAATTATAGACAAGAAAATTATTACTTTTTAACCTTAATTTAGACTATATTTTAGCTTCTTGTACCTTCATGCATATATTATTTTCCCAGTTATTTTTTAATTGGAATACCTAAATTAATAGTGAGGTGCATAATCTACCCTTATTAATTGTTGACATTTAAACTTTCACTGGATTAAAAAAACCTCTGGATTTTCCTCCACAAATAAACATTTTCTTATGGTATACTGAGATCAGTTTGTCATAGTTTGTTTTCATTGAGCTTGAAAGATCTTCCTTCAGAGAGAAAGTGATAGCAATTTTGTTCTTGATGTGGTGCATCTAATTGTAGTTGCTACTGGCCACAAAATCACAGGATTTTTTAGTTGCCTTGTGCTCTAATTTGTGTTTGCAATTCCTGACTGGTTTATGCCATTTCTAATCATACGATGGAAGACTCTCGATCTTCTCGTCCTAAATTTCCTACCATTTTGTTCTAAACCCAGATAGTAGTGTTTGACACAGGAAGGTTTGGATATGGAAGAAATTCTTTTCTATGACCCCAATTTCTAAATTTGAAGTTGTATTAACCTCTGTTATTCTTATGCCTTGCTCAGCTACAAGAAGAATAAGTGGGTGATACCCAGAGGATCAGTATAAATAATGTTCCATCAGCTTAGCCTGTCACTACTGTATTCCTTAAGAGATTTTTTGTGTATGAGTGCATGGCAAGTTCATACAGGTTCTCTCTGTGACCTTTCCAAATCCAAATTCAGCAGGGCACCGGAGAGCTAATGATGCCTTTATATTATGTGGGGTTCTCTACAGTTTGCAAAAGAGGGAAGAATCGGCTTCTTGTTGCATATTACTACCTTGTCAAAGTGGAATGTAGGTTTTGAGTGTTGCCAGTAAAAAGTTAATGTGCAGGTGGATAAATGCACACACAGTGTGGACTTCTAAGTGGACAGAAATAGTGAAGTTTGATTCTTGGTTGGTTGACTTTTAGTTTCTAGGAAGATACTTACTAAATAGAAAGACTCATGACTGAAATGACAGATGAGTCAAACTGCTGAACTTTATTACTGCTAGGATTTTCTCAGTTCTTATATTTCAGACTTCATTACATGTTTCTGAAATAGAGCAGCAGCTAAGATTTCTGAAACATAGTTTATTTTTTTATAAAAACAACCATGTTAAATAACAGAGTGCTTAAGCTAAAGAGAAGAGGATATTCAAGGTAACAAAAAGGTGCTTCTAAATTTCTCACTTAGAAGAAGTTTACCCCACGAGGTTCGTAAGACTAATTATTTTCATTAGAGTGTGGATGTGTCTAAGCTGAGTTTGAACATCAACATACACTAATAATGAGTAACAGCTAATGATGACTCCAGTTTATCTCACAAATGGCCAGCAGTGGCTAATGGGTACTCCTGTTCAACTTCACAACCTATTTTGCAGTGGCTATGGGAATGAGCTCACAAGACCATCCCCTTTCCCCTCTTATACTAGAGGTGCTAGAGGTAAGTGTGGTTTTGGGGATCAAGGGTGGGAGGTCATGAGATGAAAGTGATGTGGTCTTCTTAAGTTTTTCACAAACCTCAATTAAGGCACGTATCTGGGGATGGGCAAAGATTCAGTTGAATTCTTATTTTTTGCCCAAAGAGATTACCCAGTCCTAAAATGACATGCTTTCCTTGAACTGGGAGTCAGAAATCCCTTTTCTCTTCTGTTTTTCTGCTGCAGAAATTCCCAACATTCCCATTATGTGGGCTCCAGAGAGGGGTAAGCAACATCTTCAATCCCACCCAATCATTTCCAGACTAATTCTTTGCTAGTATTTTTTTGCTTTTTTAATCATCATCAGAAACAGTTTTTAGCCACAGTTTTTCCCATTTGTTTGATTTTCTTGTGGATTCTCATATTTTTGTTTTATAGGAAGGTCCCATGGCCTCCCCAAGTGCTAGGGTCAGACTCATTTGCTGTTTCCATTTGTGTGCAATTCTCCTGTGGATTTTCATGGTTCACTCTGATCAAATGATATTACCAAAGGGTGAGCATCTGGATTCTTGGGACTGTTTCACTCATGGTATCCTAAGTTACTGAAAAAGCACTGCCACCCTGCCGCCCTGTCGATCATTTGGCAAGCTTATGTTTTGTCCTTGCCAAAAGTTGCATCTGATTATTTGTGGGCTTTGGTCTTTATCTGACTTGTCTGTCTGGGGACTGCCTGGCATTTACTACTGTCTTTTATTCTCTCCACCTGCTGGCTGTGTGGCATTGTCCTCCTGAAGTCTTGGCCCTTTGCCTGACTGTCTGGCATTGCCTCTTGACCAGCTAATTGCTTGACACTGACTACCTACCGCCCTGTCCATCTGTTGAACGGCATGTGTCGCCTCCTTACTGTCCTTTCAGTCTGACTGTACATGGGCACTGGCCTTCTGCTGCCCTGTCTCCTGCTCCAAGTGCCTGGCATTGCCTTTCTGCTGAGTGCATCTGCTGACTTTGTGAAATTGCTCTTCTACTGCTTGGCACACCTGATGACTGTTTGGTACTGCTTTAGCAATTTGCTGGATGTTTGGCATTTTCCTTCTGCCTTTTCACCTGATCCTTGAATATAGTGTCCCTTTGCTGCTCTTTGGGTCTGCTTACTCACTGATACCTGCTCTTTTGCTGTCCTATCCACTTGCTTTTATGCCTGGCATTTCTATCATATTGTCCTGCCCATCTGCCTAGATTTTATTTCTAAATATGTACCAGTCTGAAAAGATTAAGAAGAATTGTAAGGAATGGGGAAAAAATATTGTCTGGCTCCTTCATGATCTGATTCAGTTCAACATACCAACCAAAAACTGATCTCAGTACCAGCATTCAGCTTTTTCATCGAACTGCTCAAAACCCTTTTGACTTTATGAAGAAAAGAAAACCAAATCCAAAACAAATTTTATTTAGTCTTTGCTTCCATTGCTTTATTTGATAGGTGTATTACTGTTCAGTAATACTGTATTTGGTATTAAATTCAATACTAAATAATTACTCCAATGCTAATATTACCCACCATAATTCTCAGAATCCATTGAAGGTAGGTAATAACAGGGGGAAAAAACAATCTGTTGCTGAGGCTCAGAAAGATTAAGGTTTGAATGTAGAGCAGTGTTTATTAAACACAGTGGATCAAAGGAGCTAAGTAAGAAATTTTACAGACCTCTTAATTTTAAACAGAGGATTGTAGCTAATCTAAATAACCCATTGGATCAGTACAGCATTACCAAACCACAGTGTGGCCTACTTGCTGCTTCCCACTCTTTCTGTGCTGGGAGAATGGTCAATTGCAAGTTTACAGAAACCTCTTACCACACTCTCACATATTAAGAACAAGGACTTGACTATATTGGTAAGGTCCATAGTAAGGGAATAAATCATTGTCACATCTTAGAATAAGAAGCAGGATTTCCTGCCTCTTCTTTTAATTCAGTTTATTTGACCTGTCTTTTTGTAGCTCTGCCACAGTTTCTAGTTTATTATGTATGTGTTTAATTGGGTTTTTGAGTCCAGCAGCAACTAGGAACTGGAGAAAATATTCTGTCGTCATGAGCCCTGTCATAATTTCATAATAAATTCTTACTACATTTAAATAAATTGTATGTTATGTTCTTTTAACTCTAGATTTTAATATCTTCAGATATTTTAATAGTACTTTTGCTGTCTTCAAAGGTACCTTAAATATGTGAAATTATGTCTAAGCATAGAGGCAGCAGCCCTTGAGTCAGTAGTCTCCTTCACCAAGTGCAAGACCAGCTTTGGAATCAGAGGAAGGCTGTGGGAGAGCACCTTGTTCCCATGCTCCCAATAGCAGCTTACTGCTGTGGAGGATGGCTCCCAGGACAGCTGACAATATTCTTAGAGCTAGTAGGAGCTTTCTCCCAGTTCTGACATTAACCTCTAGAAGCCAGTAAATTTGTATTCTGCTCCAAGGAACCAGGGGACGTGAATGCCCACCTTTACTCCTTTACACTCTCGTAGGCTCTCCTGTCCCTCTCTCTTCTCAGCCTTCCCAACCCTCCCTTGCTTCTCCGAGCATATTCTTTTCACAACTTCACAAACTCCGGTAGGCTGGCAGTCTCTCACTTCCCACCAGCTTCATGCTGTTGAAGGGTGTGGTGTCAAGAAGAGATCTCAGTGGTAAATCTTTCTCCAAGCTTTAAGTCACAGTGTTACTGTGATGCTTCCCTAGGCTGTTGTTTGAGAGGTGTATCAGGTGCTGGAAAGGGGGAGGAATATTCACTCTAGTGCTGCAGGGCTGCAGGATGCTGCTAGAACTCACTTCTTATCCCAAGAACCATAAGTAATTTTTTAATGTATCATTTCAGTTATTTGAATAAAGTTTTTTAAAACTTAATATCTCAGAAAAATGTGGGGATTTTTTTCAAATGGTATTCAAGATACATAAATTCAGCATGCAGAAAAGCAGCAAAAACCAGAGGAAAATGAACACAATGCTTTTTCTTGAATGTGTGTAATTTTCTTAGTTGAAAACTATACCTACCACAGAACTGATGCAATAGTGTCTCAGCCAGGTGCACTGTAACATATCAAGATAAGTAAGTTTTCCATCTGATCAAATGGTCACTTGGTGGTGACCATGGTACAAATATTTAAATTGGTTTTAAAAAAAGTCTGTGGTAAGTTGAAAGAATGCATTGTAGGTTTTGTCTTATAAACGAGTCAAGATTTGGTTAAAGAAACAGTGAAAAATTTTGCACACAAAGCCCTGGGAGTAGAGTCTTCTCTATGAAATCCCTGTAACAGTGATATACAACATTATTTAATATTTCTTTTTTTTTTTTAATAGGGTTTTTTGGGGGAAGGGGGTTTGATCTTTTGTTATTGCTGTTTTCTGTTTATTGGTTTTGGGTATTTTTCCTAAGGTATTCTTTAGTCTGTCCTGCACTTTTCAACCAAAAATTAGCTTTTGGAACAGTCAGGAAGACTTACAAGTCTTTCCAGCTCATAGACTTTCCAGGATAACTGAATTTCCTATTATCAGCCTAATTGTATTGGTTTTATTCCTCTTGTTAGACTCTTTTCCTTCCTTATTATCTCTGATTAAAAAAAACCCACTGTTATAGTTCTCATAGTCATTTCCTGAAGTCCAATATCTAAATCCTACAAATTATTTGTCAGGATAGAGACTGGTTTTCATATATTTTCTTCACTTCAACACAAATTTTAATTTCCAATTATTTTTTTTACCATTTGCTTTCTTTATTCTTCTCTGTTTTCTAAAGGAATCCTTTCTGATTATAGAACATTGCAGCCTCTAAGCAACTAATTTCTTACATTGTTTCTGAAAAAAATCCCCAAATTCCTAACTAATACAGGCCTTTTGCACTCAGAAAGAAAGACAGGTGTATCATTATTTTCCTACCCTTGGGATTTCCAGGAGGTGTGTTACTGCCCTGATCCACTGCCTTCGGTTTCAGTTGAAGTTTTCTATTCTTTTAACAATAATGTGTCTGGCAATCATATCAACTCAGAATCAACTTCAAATTTTCTTAAGTCTGTATATTGCTTCTGGATTCAGTCTGAAAAATTTGTTTGGTTAATTTTAGACAAGAATGTCTTAGATGAAACTTGTGCTATAGAACATATATGCCTTTTGGTTTGTGCATTGTCATCATTGACAAAGGCTTTTGGTGTTCAACTCATGGAACAGTTTGCTGAATGAATATTGATACTGAGTAAGTTCGAGTGTCTCTCTAGTGTTACCTCCTTACTTAGTGGGTAAAGAGCTTTTGTTGTAAAAATGAGGAGATGAGTTCCTGTACAGGTACAGAAATTCGGCAGAGAATAAATCCCATTGCTTTCCAGCTGGTCCCCAGAGATCAGAGAGGCTGGGTGCAACCAGCTTACTTTCTGACCGCAACTGGTTTGGCACCAAAAGTCTGGTTGCATACCATAAGGACTTCCACAAGCGCAGATTCACGAGTAGTGTAGTTCATGGAAGCAACATGTTATAAATTCTTGGTAAATTCACTGTGATAAATGCACTAGATCTACAAGATGTAAGTGTATGGTGCTATGTACAAGTCTTCCCAGATATGCTCTGATGCAGTCAGAGGCACAAATCTTACGAAGATGCATCTCATCTTTGGGGAGGAGAGAGGACCAAGCCTGCTGACTTGTCTGCAGAATGGGGTTGTATTCTCATCCTCTGCCAAAGATGATTTTAAAAGCAAAATTTATACTTTTGGGAGAAGCGAAGATGAGATTGTAATCAAATATCCTGTTGCTGCCATGATAAAAGTGGAGGGCAGCCACTGTATATATTAGTGAGGGGTATCCCACGTCCATCAGCAGGCCATCTGGTCCACATTAATTCCTTTCCACATATCTCACGGCTTTAGGCCTTATTCCTACAGATGGATATGCAAAGTAGTGTATCAGTGACTATTGCAGAGTTGTTCCTCCCAGTACATTTTGCTGCTGTTCTGCCCAGACAGGTTTTAGATTCATCCTGGAGAAGAGAAGGCTCCAGGGAGGCCTTATTATGGCCTTTAAGTACTTTAAGGGGGGCTGTGAAAAAGATGGAAACAAACAGGATCTGATGCAATAGGACAAGGGGGAATGGTTTTAAACTGAAGGAGGGTCAATGTAGATATTAGGTAGAAATTCGTTACTGTGAGGGTGGTGAGGCACTGGTACAGGTTGCAAGAAGCTGTGGATGCCCCATCCCTAGAAGTGTTCAAGGTCAGCTGGGATGGGGCTCTGAACAACTTGCTGTA